ATCTGTGCACCTCCCAGATAATTCACTCTCAAGGTGGCCCCAGTGAAACTTTCAAGATAACCCTTCTCAATGAACCAGGAAATAGGTATGAAATATTGATGAATCTTGCAAATAATTTTGAGTTGCTCGTCACTTTTTTTTATTACTTGTAACCCTCACGTTAAAAAAGAAATTCTGGGTTATTATTCACATTTCAAAGTAATCCTTCCCTTTACAAAATTAATTCAGCTCGGGATACTTTTAAGAACAAATTCCAGTGATGAGTTTAAAATGTACTCAGTTTTTCTCCCTACCCATGGCAAAAAGCTCTTTGCACACAACTTTGCAAGAACTCATTGTGTCACACAAAGTGAATTTCACTGGTATTTTAACATAACAAATGCTTTGCTTAATTTCCAGCACATAGGCAGTCAATGGTCAGCGTAGGTCCATCCAAAAGGAGGTGTAGCATAGGGCATCTAATTTCATCCAGAATATCAAGATCTGCACTAGTCAGTTTACCCAGAGGAGAGAGGTAGAAAACAGAAATGTTCTTAGTGGCACTGGGTGAAAAGTCCTATTGAGGTTACTGTACTGTTTGCTTGCTGTGGCCTTTGGAGGGGGCGGTGATTTAACCTCTCTGAGCCTCAGTTTCTTCATGTGTAAATAAGGAATCCTCACATGGCTATTCTGAGGATTAAAGAGAATGTCTACAAAGCAACACACAGACACACACAAACACACACACACAGAGACACCCACACACACAGTCTGACACATAGTAAGAAATCTCCCTGCTGCCTCCACAGGGCTGACTTTGCTTTACTTCCCAGCAAGCACACCCAAGGGTTGTTTTTTGTTTTTGTTTCATTTTTGTTTTTGTTTTGAGACAGAGTTTCTCTGGGTCACCCAGGCAGATTGCAGTGGTACAGTCTCGGCTCACTGCAACATCCTCCTCCTGGGTTCAAGCGATTCTCCTGCCCCAGCCTCCCAAGTAGCTGGGACTACAGGCCTGTGCCACCATGCCTGGCTAATTTTTTTCTTTTTTTGGTATTTTTAGAAGAGATGGGGTTTCACCATGTTGGCCAGGCTGGCCTCGAACTACTGACCTCAAATGATCCTCCCATGTTGGCCTCCCAAAATGCTGAGATTACAGGTGTGAGCCACTGTGCCTGTTTTGTTTTTGAGACAGTCTCACCCTGTCACCCCAGCTGGAGTGCAGTGGCGAGACCAAAGCTCACTGCAGCCTCGACCTCCTGGGCTCAATTAATCCTCCTGCCTCAGCCTGCCTAGCAGCTGGGACTACAGGTATGCACCACTGCACCCAGCTAGTTTGTTTCTTTTTTTTTTTTAATTTTTAGTAGAGACAATATCTCACTGTGTTGCCCAGGCTGCTCTCAAATACCTGACCTCTAGTGATCCTCCCATCTCAGCCTCCCAAAACACTGAGATTATAGATGTGAGCCATCGTGTCTAGCCCCAAGGATTGCTAATGCTGTTTGACACATGGCAAAGCCAAGCCACAAACTAAAACTGCGGCCAGAACAAAACCTGGCTTCTCTACCCTGGTTGCAGCCTGCCAAGCAAGCTCACCATCTCCTCTGGTGAGGCATTCTAATAAGTAGCAGTAAAAGAAAAGGGGACGCTCATTTTGAGACAGCATAAAGTTACAAGAGCTATGGGAGATGGATAAACTCCAAACACACAGCCCCTCCCTCAAATCCTACTGATGCCCTAGGTCTAGTTCCTAAGGGAGAAAGCTGATTAAGTGGGAGGTCTGACTGCAAGGTGGGGTCATGAAAAGGGTGGGCTTTAGACTCACATGGCCTCTCTCAGCTTCCAAGAAACCCCCAACTACTACCACCATCATCATCTTCTTAACTAGGTTAAGTGGCAGTTTCACAATCTTACATAAAAGTGAACAAAAGCCTCTTTTAACTACATGCTCACCAGAATGGCTAAAATGAAAGATAAGTGAAATAAAAATACTAAGTATTGGGGACCATGTGGTGCTAACACTGGTAGAAGTGTAAATTGGTCTAACCAACTGTAGAAAACTGCTTGGTAGAACCTACTAAGGCTAATATTTGTATCTATGACATAGCAATTGCACTCCTAGGCATATACTGAATAGAAATTTGTATTATGGTCACCAAAAGACAAGCTAGAATTGTGCTGTCCAATAGAGTAGCCCTAGCCATATTAGCTACTTACATTTAAATTAATTACAATTTTAGAAAATTAAAAATTCAGTTCCCCAGTCACACCTGTCACATTTCAAGTGCTCAAAAGTCACACGTCACTAATGGCTACCATGTTGGATGGCACGGATATAGAACATTATCATCGCAGGAAGTTCTATTGGACACTGTTCTAGCATATCGTAGTGGTGCTATTCACAACAGCCTAAAACTAGAAACAACCCAAATACCTATAAACAGCAGAATGGATACATTGATTGTGGTATTTTCACACCGTGGAACACTCTAAAATAACTGAAATGAGCGACCTACAACTACCCGCAGCCATATGGATAAATCTCACGAACGAATGAAGCAGGTGCACAAGAGTGCAATCTATATGATTCCATTTAGATAATGTTCCCAAACAGGCAAAACTAACCTGTGCTGTTAGAAGCCAGGACAGTGGTTACCCTTAGTGGCTCCAGGTAGTAGTTACAAGAAGGGAGCATGGGGTACTTTCCAGGGACTGATAATGTTCTGTTTCTTCATGTGGGTGTTGGTAGCATAGAAGGGTTCCGTTTATAAAGATAGAGCAAGCCGAAGCTTGGGGTTTTCTGGATGTATCTCCCATTCCAATAAGAAGTTTACTAATGACCCCTTTTGAAAACCTCAGCTGTTATTAATCTGTTCCTTACAATCTAGGTGGAGTGAGGTGGGGGCCTATTTTCAACAAAGCTAACGTGCTTTAGAGATCAGTGCCCCCTCCCCCTGACGCCTCCCCAGGACTCCCTGCAGAGACCTCCCCATGTCCCCTAAGCCCCACCCAGGATGTCCTACCTCCGCGACCTTCAGGACTGCTGGCTCTTGCAGTTTGGGCTCTCACCCGCAGAGTCGGCTAGGCTCTCCCGGGGCTCGCCGGGGCACTCCCGGCCCAGCTGGCTCTGACTGCCCCGGGCCCGCCTGGGAAGCTGCGGTCGGCCCCCGGGCGCCCCGCCCCGTGGCACCTGCGCTGCCCCTGGCAGTTCGAAAGGATCCTTTCCTCTCGAGCGCGGCCAGACTGAGGCTGAGCACTGAACTCTCTCCAGTCGCGGACAAATCACAGTCCTTCCAGGGCTCGGGCC